ATGAGTGGGAGGTTACTGCTAGCTGTCTGTAGAAAGTGATATCCACCAGCTCCTCTTAGTCACACAGTAACAGATGCCCATCGCATCACCAGTGCTTTCCAATCTTCTGTAGCCAGTGCTACTTTTGTGAAAAATTAGAGTGAGTGTTTTCACTCAGAGTGTTTTCAAACTGTACAAAGGTTTCTGAAGCACATTTTGCTCAGTGGAGAAAAACCAGACTATCTACTCAAAACTGAGCTTAGATAACAAGTACATCAGTATAATTTCAAAAATGAATTTCAATCAAAAAGAATCTGCAACTGAAAATCAACAGAAACGTTTTTGAGATTTCACATTTACTGAAAAGCTATCCAAAACTGACAAAACAGCTTTAAAATTAGCTGTGGCATTGCCTACAACTATCCTGAGTCCCTGAGTATGCCAAGCAGCTACAACTTCAACCTTACACATTAAGCTAGGCACAACTTGTAGAACACATCAACACATATCAGGCCTGTAACAGTTGTTTAACAGAAAAAATTAAATTTCAAACAACAGGCAAATATTAACACTTAGAAACTATTTACTGACATCCAGTCATACACCAAAAGTGAAGCCCTACAGAAGCTGGCCTGACATTTTACCCCTTTGTTCCAGCTACATCAGCATGTCTAATAAAATACACTATTCTTTTACCATGAACCTTTTCTTTTCTAAATGTTAGAATAATTTGAAATAACCCAGGCATAACTCTGCGAACTTTCAGACAACTGGCTTTGAAAATTCCCATTCCCATTTGCTGCCTTCTGAGTTGTGCTGACGCAAGAAGCCGTACACAAGGCTCACCATAAATCAAATCCCTGGAATCATTTCAGTCACCACAATGCAGTTCCCTAAGTACAACTACGGAGGTAATGAACAATTATAGGAATGTCATGAGAAACAAGAAAGCATGAAGTCTCTCTAAAAATAGGTTTTGACAGAGAAAAAAGTATTGTCAGAAACACACTCTCAGCTGTCAACATGTGAACCTCAACAAAGATAATGACACAGGTAAAATTGGAAAAGGCAATGTGCCAGAAAGCATTTACATCCATCATTAACCAGATCTTTAGTCTTTTGATGAGGACAAACCTGGAAAAGAACCACTTACAAACACACAGTCAAATTCATAGCCTTCTTTCAGATAATCGATTTTTACCACAAACTTTTAGATGCTGTACACCAATGATGAACATTACAGGATTCTGAAGTGTGGTGCAATTTTCACAAGTGACTGTGCCTTACTCAGCAGATATGCTCGCATGTACTACTGAGATCTTACAGGTTTTAAACACAAGTTTGATTAGGAACGGGAACTGACCAAAACTTTCACATAAGGAAAGTAGAGGAAGTGAACCTGGACAGGCAGTGCTGCAGAAAACAGCAAATGTAGATAGTACATATCTTGGTCTACACCAGTGACAAAGCATAAGTTATTTTATATACACTGAGCAGCAAAGCACACGAGAGACCTTCCTTTGCATTTACTATCTAACTGGCAATGGTTTTTTATTTTTCCAGTTCTTCAGTTTATCTCAAATTTAGTGTTTGTTCCCTGTAATCCCCTACAGCAACTCCAACATTGTGTATTCTGTCAACTTTTTAAAAATATTAATATTGCATATAGATTAAAATAATTAAATAAATGTGAATTGAGTTGCATAGAACTCAATTCTATTCAGGTCACAATGCATTTAACCTAATTCATCATGAGTCTAAAAAAATCTACAGTCTACAAAAATTTGATACTTTTTAGTCTTTTAGATGGAAACATGAAACCCGCATTAAGAATTATTTTGACAGTCAGCCTTCTACAACACTCGCTCCTATAAATTGCTTCCCTTGTTAATTACATTGCACAATCCCAAACCTTCCTAGACATTCCCATTACCCTTCTGTCCTGCAGTCTCTTTCACTTTGAGACTTCTCGTAAGCTTTACCACTTGACAGCTTTAGTGGTTCCTCCACAGCCCCCAGTGGACCAGCAACTCACTTTGGACCCCACACTCACTTTGCAAAGACTGAGTTAAAAAGCTAAGAAGGATGGCTTCTTCACATGTAACAGCACAACACCAGGCAACAGTTCCTCCCCTACACTCAGAAGGTACCAGGACAGACAGTAAATCCTGTTTGGGATTTCAACCCTGACCTGGCAGGGACGTCACATCCAAATTACTGCTTACACAACAAATTGCTGATTAGCTGCCTCTTAAAGCTTCCAACCTTTTAAGACATGTTTTGTTTATTTATTTATGCAACCTCAACACCACTTACAACAAGAACTGTAATTACAGGAGCTGCACAGAAATAGCAAAAACACATATGGCACAAAAAATTTCAGATCATCCTTTGTAACTTCAGTATCCTCAAAAAAATGCTAGGGTCTGCATGAAGACATGCAAACATTTAAAAAATTAATTTTAAAAACACCCACAAAACAAACAGGAAAAAAAACCTAGTATTCTTAATATCAAGGTCCCAAATATGGAGAGTAAGAGAGAGAATACAATGGAACTGATAAAGGAGCCTGATATCTTGGGCATAATCAAGCAGAAACCATGGGAGAGACAGACACAGCTAATTGCTCCCTGGGGTAGAAGTGATTAAGAGACATGTTGTGAAACTTTGTAATGATTACCAGGTAACTGATGTCACGAAGAAAGTGTTACCAATAGGAAATTGTTACCAAAAATAGAAACCATATAAGTGTCATACAAGTAAGCCCTACATAAACGCTTAATATTCTCAATAAAATCAGTTTCTGATCCAAATTCACAGAAAAAATGGGAAGCACTACAAAGAATGAGATGTCTCAGGCGTCAGGAGGGGAAATATCCCTCATATTATCTACAATATTCTCTAGTGTTTTGAGACTTAAATCTTTCTACCAAAACTCCTACCATCATTGATTGTAACTGAGAATACTCCTACTATTCACATATACACAGAGTGTATTCACAAATATCACTGAGTTAAACTCTATTGCATTCCACAGCACATTTAAAGTGATGAAATATTTTCAGCAATGCTGCATTTGCTACCATTTTACACTGCTAAATTTCTTTTTCTTCTTAAAGTTACTTAACCCAACAAAGGGCTGAAAAGCACTGAGCTACCTTCTTCTGGTGTGTTTTACTTTACTCACTTCATCATTAACTTGTTTTCTTTCACGCTAAAATGTTTGATGCTAAATAGAATTCACAGAATCACTTGGCTGGAAGAGACCTTCAAGATCATAGAGACCAACTCATGCCCCAACACTCAACTAAACCATGGCATCAAGTGCCTGATCCAGTCTTTTTTTCAAACACATCCAGGGATGGTGACACTACCACCTCCCCAGGAAGACCATTCCAGTACTTTATGACTCTTTCAGTGAAAAACTTTTTCCTAATACCCAGCCCATATTTCCCTTGATGCAGCTTGAGACTGTGTCCTCTGGTTCTGTCAGTTGCTGCTTGGAGAAAGAGACCAACTACAAGACACTACAGCCAACCTTCAGGGAAGTGTAGAGAGTGATAAGGTCACCACTGAGTCTCCTTTTCTCCAGGTTAAACAACCCCAACTAGTCTTTTATATATAAATAACTCTAAATATATAAATAACTCTTAAATAACTCTCGCCTTTTTAGTACTTCTCACAAAATAGATATTATCTATTCTTCAAATTCTTGAAGGAATTTTATGGCTATCATTCCCTCAAAGATTTCCTTCTTGAGTAACTTTTCAGAAACTAAACAAAGAAATTAACTGATTAACTAATAAACAGATTTTAAAATATTAAAATGTAGATAAATGGGATTAAAGGAGTGTAATTAAGAGCTTGAGCAAGTACTCCCCTATCACAATCACTTGCAGATCACTACTCATCACTCACTCTGTACTTAGGAGCTTTGTTGCTTTTGGCTTTCATCCTGAGAAGTGTCAATTACCACAGGCATATGTCACCCTTTCCAGACTCTGCTTCTACTCAGCACAGGCCCACCACCTGTCTCAAAGGTCACCTCTCAAAGGAGGATATTCCAGGGCAGTTCAGGTCATCCCTCATGGCATCTGCAGGCTCAAGGTCAACCCTCTATCTCATTACCATATGCTGCCGGCACAGTCAGACACGCAGCAGCCCTGGCAGCCCCGACACAAACAGTGCGGCTCAGCCCCGGCCGAAGGAGGAAGCCATGTGATGCAGGAGCAGAAAGCATGGCGAGATGTGACAGACGCTCTGCAGAGCAGCATGGCTCACACAGGCACGAGCTGCAGGGCTGCCCCTTGCCTCACTGCGGCTGAAGCACTTGGAGCAGGAGCTATCACAAGCCACAGTAAGCGTCCCTGCAAGTCTGTGACTGAACTCTGCCCTTTCCCCTCATGCCAGGTTGGAAAAGACCTCTGGGATAATCGAGTCCAACCTATGACCAAACACCACCATGCTAACCAGACCATGGCACCGAGTGCCAGGTGCAGTCGTTCCCTAAACACCTCCACGATGGTGACTCCACCACGCCCCTGGGAAGTCCACTACAACACCTAATCACACCTCCTGTGAAGAAATCCTTCCTAAAGTCCTACCTAAATCACCCTCGGTGAAGCTTGTGGCTATGCCCTCTTATCCTGTCAGTTGTTACCTGGGAGAAGAGACCGACCCCCACCTCGCTACACCCTCCTTTCAGGGAGTTGTAGAGAGAGACAAGGTCCCCCTGAGCCTCCTCTTCTCCAGGCTAAACAAGCCCAGCGCCCTCAGACCCTCTCCATGGGACCTGCGCTCCAGACCTTTCGCCAGCTCCCCTGCCCTTCTCCGGAGCCCCCGCACTCACGAACATGAGACACAGGGGCGGCAGCGCAGCTTGGACAAGCCCGCAGCCCAGGGCGGTACCTGCCCGCCGGCCTCCCCACGGCGCGGCGGCAGCGCCGGGGCTGTGCCCAGAACAGGGGCAGCCGGGGGAGGCAGCGGGGGCCGAGGCAGCGGGGGCCGCCGGGGTGGGTTACCTGAGCTGTGCAGCGCCCTGACCTCGGAGCGGCCGTACCGCGCCGCGGCCGCGCCGCCGCCCACCACCTGCCGCAGGAGCAGGCGGACCCTGCGCGCAGCGGGACCCCCGGCCCCGCCGCCCAGGCACAGCACCCGCGACGGCATGGAGACCGCGGGGAGACGGGCACGGCCGGGGCAGAGACACCGGCACGGCCGCGGCCCGGCCGAGCGCGGGGGAAGGGAAGCGCAGCCGCACAAAGTCCCGCCGGAAACCGGGGCCGGGCGGGCGCGGACCGGTGCCGCCGGGTGCGGGGACCTGCCGGAGCGGGGCCAGGCCCCTCGGGAGGGTGCGAGAACAGAATGTTTGCTTTTTGTACGAGGGGGTGAACTCCGCAGCTGGGAACGTTTGAAACAGCCCCGAGAGCCAGGCGCGGGCAGCGGCGGCCGAGGCGGATTCGTGCGCCGAAGGTTTTCTACCTCTGGTGTCTCTCGGCCCTCCTGCCCCAGTGCCGGCCCTCGCCTGCGTTCTCGGGATCCAGGCATTTCGTACTTCAGGAGGAATCTGGGTTACTCCGGAGTGACGTTTGGCTTAGATGTGAGATTTTTGTAAAAGGTCACGTTGCAGAAATAGACTTCAAAATTGGCATATTCCAGCTAAAGGTAATGCTCTTGGATTTAAGTAAAAGCTCAGGAGGAAATTTTAGAATAATCTGTGCAAGCCTGAAGCTTTCACGATAACTAAGCCTAATTCCAAGGAAAATCAAGTAGAGACTTGGTTCTCTGCACCAGTAGAAAGACTGGTGAGGGACCTTGGTGGAAGTAGAAGCCAGAGTGAAGCCACCACCTTTATCAGCTGTGGTTCAGGTTTTGGCTGTATCAGCCGGGAGGATTTTGCTCCCTTAGATCTCCCATTTCCTGCATGTTTCCAGCACTGAATAATTATCCAAAAGAAAGCCTTTAAAGTGGGACCTAAGCATCAGTTTAAACATTGACAACCTTCTTACGGGGACTTCTAAGCCTCCATAAGATATTATTAACTAGGAATGTTGGTCTCATCCTAGACATTTCTGCAGCTCGGTGTTAGGTGCATTAAACACTTAGGAGAGGTGAAATTTCACCTCTTCAGCATTTCCTGTTGCCTAGGGTATTGGTTAGGTATAATTTCTATTCTTAGTACCTAATATAGGTCTGTGAACCTGTTTTCTGGGTCTAAGGCAGGATAAACTAAATTGAAACATCCTTTTATGGATATTGCCCTAATTTCTTGTAAGCTGAAGATCACAAATGCTGGAGGCTAAAGATAGGCTAAGTAACAAGAAGGTCTGTTGGAACTGACTAGAAGGCCAGTGAAGCAAAATAACAATGGAATGGTTTATAAATATATCTTAGCAATCTGAGATATTAAATTAGAAGACTACATTTTTCTTCTTTGTCATAGCTATATAAAAAAGAATAAATAGCAACAGATACGCAAGCGATTAAATGCATCACCTGAATGCTGCATAGGTTTATGCTATGCTGAAAATAAGGAGACATTTCAGTTTGGTACAGGTTCACAGTGTTTTCACAGTAATTTCACACTGTGAATGTACAAAGCCTCCTTTTACCTCTTTGTGTGTATATGTATATGCACCTGTCAAGCTAAATGCTTTAAATTTCAGCTCATTCTGAGTCATGTATCTATAAAATGTTTTGCTTTTTAAAGCGTTGTCTTAAAATTCTAAATTAATCAACTTTTCCAAAACTTCAAATTCAGCCTGAAGTTCAGCATCCAACTTTCCATCTGCAGCAAGAGAAAACTATACTTACTGATTTTCAAACTGTTGCTGTGAAAGATATAATGGAAACATTGTTATCTCTGTGCATAATTATGGATATGGTAATTTTGTTGCATGTATACATGTATACACAAACACTTAGATGCACAACTTGAATGTTACACTGTTTTTAGCCTATACGCTCAGTCCTGCCAGCACTCAAAATTTAATGTAGTAGTGTGAATGCATAGAATCAAGCTTTTTCTTGTATATGTGTGAAATTTTTATCTGGCTCTACAATATGAAATTATTGCTTGAGTATGGCATCCGCCTGACTTGCTAATCATAACTGATGCGTACAGGCTTTACATATCTGGTACTTGCTCAATCCTCTCTGTGGAAAGCGTGATTCCGTCAGTAGTTCAGTGCTGTCATGAAGTGGAAGGATTTAGCAGTCTGCATCTGGTGTGTTTGTGAAGGCTTTCAGCAAGATTTACAGCACTGGTAACAAACAGCATTTTCATATTTTCATTCCCTGACTTAACAGCACTCTTATTTGGAATGTCAAGTTTCTTAACAAAAATACTTTTCCTTTGATTAGACAGAAAAGAACCTACTCCAAAGAGTGAGAGCTCTAAAAGCATCCCTCTGAGTTGACAGTTTCCAGACTATTCTCTCTAGTAGCTGTCAAGTACTTTGCTGTGTAGCTCTAGCTGCAAGACTAAATTAGACACAGGTGCAGACTGTAAAGAACAATGCATCATCTCTGCCTAGTTGTAGTCAGTTCTCCTGCACCAGAAGAGAGAAGCTTAGATGAAATCCTGGCTTCATCTGAACTTCATAGGAAATCTCCCACTGAATGCATTGAGGCTTGAATTTTACTGAAATGGTCTGGCTGGACTACAGTAATAGGAATAAGTCAATCTTCATTTTCTGTTAAAGCTTTGTCTAGAGGGTAGGTCTAACATTAAACTCCTTTGAAACTATGTCCAGAGAATGTGAAGAAACAAAAAAGGGAAGTCTCTTAGAATTCATACAATTTCCTAGTGGTGTGGATTCCATCTGGTGATGCTAACAGAGAAAGTCAAGCCATTAGTGGATGCAGGGCTTCCTTACCATTAATTTTTCCTGAGATCAAGAGGATACTTCTGTATAATTTCTTTTCAGTTAGGCAAAATTATTTTCCTTGGATTAAAATTTAGAGTTGTTCTCCCAAATTAGCTGTAGCTGCCTTAAACAGTAGATGTAGAGAGAGCCAGATTTGTTGTGTATAAATTTTGAACAAATATAACTATTATTTCCATGGAGCCACTCTAATTCACTATAGTGAGTCTTTGATATACCAGAAGGTGCTTCTCTTGTATGACATTGATTTGTAACAATATAAATCAAATACAAATGGAAATGCACAGCTGTTTCTTTGTTGACTTGAATCCTAAATTTGTCCCCTTGTTTAATCCAAGTTGATATAAAAAAATAAATGGATCCACCAATAATACATTAAGGTTCTAATGTACATTGTCTTATCTCCTAGTTCTTGCTAAACTTTCATTCATTATGTCTTTCTCTGTATCCAATGGTTGTTAGAATATCCACCTCTTTCCTCTGCTCTCTTATAATATAAGCAAGAGTCAGTGCTATAATTTGTTCTACAAATGGTGTTTATTATAGATCTCCCACCCCAGAATGTATAATTACTAACTTTCTTGTTAAGGATTGAAAGACCTTTTTTGTTAAGGATTGAAAGATTTTTGCTATCTGTTTGTATGGCAACTTCCTTCAAGAAATTAAAACCCACTCTATTAAAATCCACTCCATTAGCTTTCTTGGTATCTGTTCAGACCCCTCTGTCTCTGAGTTTTTCTGTGCTGTTTGCACTGTTACACTGAATTAAAACAGTGAGTAAGGATAAAGTCATTACTGATTTTTGTAAGAAATAATGACATTGAGGTAAGGAGGTTCTTGCCACCTGATTCCTGAGTGGAAGGTTGACCTAATAGCCTCTAGCTACTTGGAAGTACATTTCTTGAAGATCAATATTACAGAGAGAAAGTCCAGGGTTTTTTTTTGTTTGTTTGTTTGTTTTTTTGGTTTTTTTTTTTTTTTTTTTTTTTTTTTTTTTTGTTGTTTTGTTTTTTGGGCTTTTTTAAAGGAACACAGAAGGTAAGAGAAGTGAGAACTCTGCTGAGTGGTAGTGCACATTTGAATATGTGTTATGGTATAAATGCTTAGAGAGTATAAAGGCCATGAGTGATGGCATCTGCAATTTCTTATGCCAAACTCCATCTGTTTTCAGTAGTTTGTTACTCCACCATTCTTTAATAATTTGGGCAGAAATTTTTCATGCTGGATTTCTGCCTCAGGCAGAACACTTCTTTTGAAAACTTGAACAAAAATAGTTTAGTGACTTTTCAGAAAAGAAAAGAGAATGTTTTACTCAGGAGTAGCTATAACCCCTACATGAGATGGAAGGCTGCATGGCAGAGCAGCCACATCACATGAAGGAAATGCTTACTGCTTTCCCTGTTGTTACTGGAAAGTGGAGGGGCAAATAAAGATTAAAACCTTTGTCCTGCCTGATAAATCTGCAGCTGGTTTTACCCACATGAAAACAGTTCTAAAATTAGGTACTTCACCATACTTCACTTTTAGATCAAGGAGAAGAGCTCTGCTAAGAGAGTCATTCTGGTTTCAGAAAGATGCTTTTTGATGATACCTTTTTTTTTTTTTTTTTGTATGTATGAATCATGAGCTTCTGAAAAGTGGGGAAATAGATAATAGTTTAACAGGTAGGTCAACATACTCTGTTTATATGAAGGATGATCTACTAGAAAACTGCACTGGTTGAGCCAGACTTCCAACTCATTTCTCCTTCTGTGCTTCTTCAGAGCAGGGGGACCAGGAGCCAAGCTTAAAGGGACAGTTAGAAAATTGTGAATTAAGTGCAAGGAACCCGAAGGAGAAGGAGGCAGGGGAGCATGAAACCATTACATGGATGTTGGGTGAGTGTTAAAAGTTATCTCACAATCACAAAATAAGCTAAGTTGGAAAGGACCCTCAAGGATCATCAAGTCCAGATACCTGCCCTGCACAGGACATTCCCAAGTGTCACACCATGTGACTGAGAGGGTTGTCCAAACACTTCTTGAACTTTGTCAAGCTATGATCACTTCCCTGGGGAGCCTGTTCCAGTGCCCAACAACTCTCTGGCTGAAGAACCTTTTCCCGATATCCAATCTAGACCTCCTCTGACACAGCTTCAGGCCGTTCCCTGGGGTCCTGTCACTGTCACCTCAGAGAAGAGATCAGTGCCTACCCCTCCTCTTCCCCTCCCGAGGAAGCTGTAACTGCAACAAGGTCTCCCGTCAGTCTCCTCCAGGCTGAACAGACCAAGTGACTTCAGCTGCTCCTCGTACAGTTTCCCCTCAAGGCTCTTCACCATCCTTGTCACCCTCCTTTGGACACTCTCAAACAGTTTAATGTTTTTCATATATTGTGGCACCCAAAACCGCACACAGCCCTTGAGGTGAAGCCACCCCAGCTCAGAGCAGAGTGGGACAATCCCCTCCTTTCCCTGCTGGTGATGCGGTGTTCAATGCAACTCAGGACAGGGTTGGCCCTCCTGGCTGCCAGGGCACTGCTGTTCAGCTTGCCATCAACCAGGATCCTCAGGTCCCTTTCCATGGCACTGCTCTCCAGCCTCTCATTCCCCAGTTTGTCTGTACATCCAGGATTCCCCATTCCAGAATCCGGCACTTGCCCTTGTTGGACTTCATATGGTTGGTGATTCCCCAGCCCTCTGATTTGTCAAGGTCTCCCTGCAGGGCCTCCCTGCCCTCAAGTGAGACAACAGCTCTTCTCAGTTTTGTATCATCTGAGAGCTTGCTTAGTATCCCTTCCAGTCCTGTGTCCAAGTAATTTATGAAGATGTTGAAGGAGCACAGGGCCGAGGTTGGAGCCCTGTGGAACTCCCCTAGTAACAGGTCACCACTCTGATGTCACCCCATTCACTACAGCCCTTTGTGCCCAACCTGTGAGCCAGTTGCTCACCCATTGCATGATGTGTTTATCCAGATGTGAGCTGGACATTTTATCCAGCAGGACCCTGTGAGAGACAGTATTAAAAGCTTTACTGAAATCCAAAAACATTACATCAGTGGGCTTCCCTTGATCAATCAGGTGAGTTACCTTGTCATAAAAGGAAATTGGGTCTGATAAATGGGACTTTTGTCTCATGAAGCTGTGCTGGCTGTGACCAATGGCTGCATTGTCTTTCAGGTGTTTTTCAATAGTAACGAGGGATGAGGTTAAGACAGAGCTGAAAGGAGCATGACCATTGTTTTACATCTCCTGAGCACCACTGGAACCCCCAGTACTCTTCTGCTGACAAAAATATTTTCAAAATCCACTGAAAGTATACTGAAATGGTTCACTCATGCTGTTTGTCTGAGTGGCAGGGGCATCTCTGCTCTTCTGATGATGCATTACTTGGACTTTGAGGCAGGAGGATTGTTTTTATTTGATTTCTGTAATTGGTATTTCTTTTAACTCTAGAAAAACTAAAAATGCTACAGTAAAAGAATATGGCAGAATTGCATGAACTGCATGAAGTCAAATCTTCAGAAATTAAATACCAAAATTATATTGTTACATGAAGTATAACAAAATTGTTGATATATAACAGTATGTGTGTAATATAACTATATTGTTATCATTGCTATTATTACAAAATTTTCTTACAGAATTAGTAAGATGACCAGATGCTGGGGTTTCACTGGCTTCACAGACATTCATAGTTTGACAAAGCCTAGCATGCATTGACAATGCTGATATATGAGCTACTGGATTTAGGGTATACCTAGCATAGTATTAACACTTCAGCAAATACAATGACCCCTTCAAGAAGAGAGAGACAGAAAATCCACATATTGAGATCCTGCTGCTGTCTCACCTCCTGAAGAAGACAGTATCTGGATACTGAATACTACAATCTGAGGAACACAGGGATGTGTGTTTAGAATTATAGACTAATTTAGGGTGGAAAAGACCTTTGGATTGAGTCTATCTGTTAACACATCGCTGCCAAATCCAGCATTGAACCATGCCCCTAAGTACCACACCTACATGTCTTTTGAATACCTCCCTGGACAGCTTTTTCCAATGCTTGTCAGCTCTTTCTGAAAGAATTTTTTTCTAATATTCAAACTATACCTCCTCTGGCACAACCTGAGGCTATTTTCTCGTGTCCTATCACTGGTTACTTGGGAGAAGAGTCCAACCCCCACGTGGCTATGGCCTCCTCTCAGCCAGTTGTAGAGAGCAATAAGGTCCCTCCTGAGCTTTTCTCTGAGCTGAACAAACCCATATTCCTCAGCTGCTCCTCATACAATATCTGCTCCGGACCCTTCGCTAGCTTTGTTGCTCTTCTCTGGACATGCTCCAGCACCTCAGTGTCCTTCTTGTAGTGAGATACCCAATGCTGAACACAGAATTTGAGGTGCAGCCTCACCAGTGCCAAATACAAGGGACAATCACTGCCCTGGTCCTGCCTGCCACACTATTTCTGATACACATTAATCCTCAGCGTAGGGTATCAGCTCACTTGTCTTTTATTGATTTATCTGTACTTGCATCAGATGTATGTTTACTGTTGTCCTTCCTGTGTTCTTCTGGCTGTCGTGATCCTCTAAAACAAATCTGGTATCCTCTTCACCCACCTCAACACTGGTGTAAAATATCTGCCAAACAAACGTCACTGGTCTGTATTTAGTGTTTGATTTTATAACTGGAGTGTTATGCAACTGCACACAAAGCTGGTTAGTAGAGTGGACAGGTAGTATCTGGGTAAAATACACTAGTTCCATCCCAGTCTTATGTGCCTATATTCTAAAGCTTTTTCAGACACAGCCCACAGCTCAAAGGCAGCAACAAAATGTTAGTAGAGCTGTTAATACTTTAAGAGATAAGCAAAATCTGATCAATGATTACCTGAAATCTTTATCTCTTTTCATGTTGAAATGGTAGGTTTCCTTTTTCCTTAAGTTATAAACAACTTGGCTTTTCCTAATGATTATGTCTCAATGGACTGCCTTTTGCTGTCTGCAGAAGATTGCACGGAATAAGCTCCAAAGTGTCACTGGTGGCATGTGCCATTGATCTAACATCATCAGTAAAATGCCAGATTTCCTGAAGGCAGGAATAATGTTGCTCCCCTATAATTCAGCATCATCCCTGTGAAGCACAGGCTAATTCCATGTATCACAAAGGTTAAGTTTCAATAAACTGTGAGGCAATCTCACAAGCTCATGTTTGCTGTTAATGAATACAACTTTGCCATACTTTAGCTGCAGAGCGTACAACATTAGTGCAGTAGAGCCTGAGGCCTTTTATGGGGTTCACCTTTGGGGTATTCCCAACAGGTGAAAATACTTACTGCCTCATTTCTGAACCTTTCACCTCTCTGCAGTCAACACATCTGGCTGGCCACAGGGCAGAGCTATGAGTGGCACACAGTGAAATATTTACTTCAGAACGAAAGCTGAGGTGAGCACCCAACTGTTCCACTTAGAGATTAATATCCCAAGTCCTTGCTTAAGGGAGCTGACAATGAATTCCCTGCTGGCATATGTTCTGGGTCCATCTAACAGGAGAGTTCACAGTCAGCAGCCTGATCCCTTGACCTTGTCAATGTAAATAAAATACACAAAATTGTGCCTTCTGTGCTGTCATCTGTGGGAAGAAGGCATTGTGGCCTGCACGTTATGACTGCATTAGCATTACATGAAGAGAATGAAAACCTTCACAGGCTATACAGGTACGAAAATGCAGATTTAAAATAGCTCTAAATGACCTGGTCTGAGATTTGAAATCCCACTGAGTTGCATTAATATAATCTCTTGTGTGTAATATAAATGAGAATGAATGGCACTACTTTTTTTTTTTTTCTGGGAATTTTAAACTGAAAATTGATTAAACCTTTTTTTAAAGAATGGCCTAAAAATTTTGGAAAAAAAAAAAAAAAGCCAGCTGTCATGCAGTCATGATAGGATTTTCTTTCTAAAAGAAACGACCTTGAAGATGTTTGTCATTCATCTCTTAAAGTCTGCATCTGAAGTGAAGCACAATCTTTACTTTCTCAGGGCAAGACTATTTAACACAGGTCCTCCAGGGAAGCTCCAACTTCACTAGAATTCTCTTAGTGTTTTTAATACAGCAGCATTATCTTTTACACAATAGGCAAAGACAAACCTTTAACAATCTGATTGTTGTTTCAGCTCTTTGTTTTACTTTTCCATTACGTTCAGATGAAACAGTTCAAACTGAAAATTAGAGACATTAACTGCATGAACCAAGGATAGATTCCAAAAGAAGATGCAGGAGATACAAAAACGTCTTTCTTTTTAGGTCAACCAAAATTTCAGTGTGTATGAGTATGAAACTTACTTTCACTTGTTCTCTTTGATGTACTGTATAATTTTATCAGACAGTCTCTCTGGGAAGATTCAATTTTATGACAAGTGAAAGAAATGTGTAAATGGTAATTATGAGGAGATTAAACTACCTGTACATTGTTAGCTTATACATTAGAAGGTGGATTTTTTTCCTTTTTTTTTAAAGTGGCTGTATGGTAAAATAAACACTTTTAAAGTCCACAATGGAGCCTCTTAAATAAGAAAATACCTCAAATTCCTCTAAATGTATTTTGACAATTGAAATATGATATCTGTTTGAGTAGAACAGAGCAACCCAACCCATCTCAAATTTCACTTGCTGTCCTCAGCAATGGTCTTTTTCTGTCCTAATATCTTAAATGGGTTAATGTTCTAAGAATGCTTAAATGGGATTGTGAAGCTTTTGTTTGTATTTGGGACAATATTCTTCTTCACTGACAAATTTTTTCTCAGTGTTCATTGTTGGTTCTTTCTGAAGGTCAGTTTAAGGACATCTTAAAAGTCTTGCCTCCATTTCTACTTTTATTTCCTTGCTTCATAGTGTGCTGAAGTAGTTCAAGAGCAGCACAAAGCATGTCAGGTGCAGTTTTGTCTTCAAAAGCTCAGAATTTAAGGGCTTAAGCCAGTTTGCATGCAATTAGTCAGTCATACTTTGATTTCAAAGAATGAGTACAGTTATTCAAGTGGGTAGGCGTTAGCAGAATCAGTCCAAGGAGAGCAATTACACCAGTTCACAGGAGAGAGGATTTTTTTGTAAAAACTTGAGAGTGCTTTGGCTGTGTTTTCTATTGCACAAACAGTAGCTGACAATCTAATTACCACTATGTTGTGTGCTATGGAAGCAGGGAGTACAGTGGGTAAGAAGGGAAGGTACTAATGTCCTCTTATGCAATTTTTCATTCCAGATCAGCCCCTGAAATCCCTTCCCAAGTAGACATAAAAAGGGGAGTAGGAATAGGTATGAGCTCCTCTCTCCACTCTCTAAGCTGGTGCAAGATGAATCAGCTCACTGCCATGTGAGGGAACGGGCCCAAGTGAAAATGTGGTGGCTTAGTATCTCAGTATGCAGGAAGTTGACAGTGAGATTTTTTGCTATTGTTCTTAATTATTATTCCCATAAGTATTAGAAGGAATTTGAAGAAGGGGAGATGGGAGTCCAGTGAACAGGGAACAAATAAACCTGGGTGTAACTTCACAAGTAGTTATGAAGAGCAGCTCACACCACTTATCTAACTTCAGATTTAATTGTGCAGCTAATTGCTTAATTACAACAGAATCTGTTTTATGTCCTACTTGAACAGCAGTGTTATCTGAGTTGAGGACAAACCTTCATATAATTTGAATGTATTCACAGGAAGAAACTTCTCTGGAAGAGTTGTGCCCCTTCAGACATAGCAATACCAGTGGTCATGAGATTTTCCTTCTTCAGATCTGAGTTTGTAAACCTGAAACCTCTTCTTTGCCTATAAAATGCAGCAGTTACAAAGACGTTTGGCAGCCTATGATAACACTAATAATATTCAGCAATAGTTCAACTATCAGATCTTAATTTTTTCTTCCATTCCCACTTCTCTTTGCCAAGTCCACTTTTTTGGCTGCCCTTTCTTTTGTAGTGTAAGATCTTTGAGACAGGAAATAAGCCTTTCTGCTGTAGTTTATAGATGTTAAACACAGAAGGGCTCTGATCCACCACAGAAACACTAAGATCATGATTCAGATGATACAAATAAGCCCAAGACAGATTCTATGTTGGTTATAATTAAATAAATTCTTCCCCAAATTATGTATGGATCCTTTGAAAAATAAGACTAGGCCACATTGTCTTATACTCATCAAGCAATAGAATATATCTATGTTGTTGAAAGATGATACTTGCTAGAGGCTTAGACAAGGCATTCCATATCTGTGACATGATTTAACTGTGCCTAGCTTTATTTTGTTTTACCAGGTCTTAATTTAGACCACTTAAAAGGCTGCTTTACATAGGCCTCTACTTATCCAGTCCCTGAAATCATCTAGAAGACAGAAGAATGACCAAAACCAATACAGTATAATTGTATTTTTTAAGATGAGAAGAGGATTGAGAATACTTTGCATGAATTGTAGCCCAGACAGCTGATACCTGGGGCAATTGGAAGAAATATAAGTTTAAATTATGCAGTCATCAGAAATTAAATAATTGCTGTGTATAGATTATTCAATTATTATAATAACATTATAGCCACACAATACCAGTGATGGAAAAATTAAAAATTGAAAATAAAGTATCTGCTGACACACAAAAGGGGTGATCCACTAGAGGGAGACAAACGGAAAAAACTATTGTTGAAATCATCAAAGAAATTAGGTGGAACAAACCGAAAGTGTTTAGACAACTAAACATAGTGAACTTTTTTTTTGCATGTGTGTGTAAGTAAATCAGCATTTTTACTTCTCTTACTTCTTTGTCAGTATCAGGAAATGTGGAATTTAATTTAATTTCTTGCCAAGTGTTAGTTCAGGCAAAAGGTTACCACTAAAAATATGACATCTGTATTTTACCAACCCTATTGCTTGGTTCTGTAAAGATTTTTCGTTATTAACAAGTCCGTGGGAAAGAGCCATCATTTATATTCTTTCTGGTTTTCGATGGAAGAAATGAGTAGTGCAAAATATCTTTAATTACAGCAGTATTTCAGATTGCTTTTATAGCTCCCAGGGTTTGTAAACAATTGTTCAGCAATCTTTTAATTCAACAGGTTGATCAACATACAAAGTCCTCCTGACAAGTAGGTGAAATAAAGGATTTTAGTACAAGACTGACCAACACACAAAGTTGGTCAGTCCCACTTTATGTGGTGGATTGACCTTGGCCAAGTGCCAATACCTACAGAGATACTTGTTTATTCCCTGTTTCATGTGAGAGGGGGATAAATGAGTGGCTGTGTGGGTGTTCAGGTGTTGGCTGGGGTTCACTTACTACAGTCCTCCCGGACCCAGTACAAAAGTCTTCCTCATCTCAACAAGATATTGGTGCTTTCTGTGATGACAGTGCATATCCTGGGCTGCCTAGTGTTGCTCTAACTGGAGCAAATAGAAACATCACCAAAGTTTGAGCAGCCAGCAGAAGGTCCACATTATACTCAGAAAAAAAATCAGACAGCCTTAAAGGACACTTCCTCTTAACCTAAGGCAGGCATGGTTCAGATGAATTTCTTTGAAACATCTGTTTCCTTCCAGTGGGAACTTTGCCTCACTAGCTCAAGTCAAATGGGTTACTTTGGACACCCAAAGGCAGGTGAGGCAAACCCAACTAACTACTTACATCTTTGTCTGATTTGATTTGCTCTTTTTTGTATGCATTTGAAACCACTTCAGTTATGACAATAGACATGCCCTGTATTCTAGTTCCCGCTTATCCTAGAATTAAAGATTATCCCCTACTTTTGCTTTTATATTCTCAGTGTTTTTCTCCTGTGTTCTGACACTATTTTGAATAATACATACCACTTTCTTTGGTAGCAGTTATTACATATATTAGCTGTCTCCTACTGTACTGGTTAAGCTGTGGGCTGAGAAGGCCCAGCAAAAGAAAAAAAAGCTGACAATTCATCTGTGACCTGAGCTAAATTTTCTCATGCTTTTATGCTTACTTCCCCAGTTCATAGCTAATCACTATATTTGCACTCCTCTCCCTTTGTTGATGAAAAGGATATTTTTTGTTGAGGAGCAGAAAGAAAACTTTCCTTACTTGTTTGTCTGGACAAAATACAGATACTGCCCTATCACTGAAAGGGTCACTAATTATCACTGAAGGAGTATTGGGGACAGACAAAGGTGATACAGAGACTCTATCATCAGAAGGTATGAAAAGACACTTTATTATTAGAAATTCACAGTTCTTATAGAAACAATGACTTGATTGGCTTTTAGGAATCTTCTCTCACTTATTGGTCAAGAAGGGACAACTCCTTCTTGTAAACATCTTTGACAAACAGAGATTGCCTGCCAGGTGCAGAGATTGAGATAATAATTGTTTTAATTCTTTCTCTGAGCTTTCTCACAGCTCCTCACAGCTTCCCAGGAAAATCCTGGGAGAGCTATGTCTCTCTGTTCAGAGGATATGTGATTACCACACTGCCCCACTTCTATCCAAAGAAATCCAATAAAAATGTGTCTCATTGTTTGTAACTTTTAGAGTATTTATTTTCATTGGGGTTTTTTGGCACAACTGGAAGCCCTAAAGTTTTGAAGAAAAATAACTTTGCTCAGGAGGAGTTCAGTGACACCACTGCATGGCTAAATATGCCATCCTATATATTATATCCGTCCTTCTCTCCTTCCTTCCTTCTCTCTACCACTTTTCTCCTTTGTCTGATCCTCCTTCCTTTCCTTCTTTATTCCTTCTCTCTTCCCTTCCTCCTCTTGCTGCTTCTCTTCCAAGCCTTTTAATCTGCTAACTGTGTTTTGTTTCCCACATAACCACACAACTTCTCAACATTCTATTTTTCTTTATACTACCTCTGTTTCTTCTGCTGGACTGCATTATCACTGCTACTCATGCATTGCACATTAGAAATCCCACATCTCGTCAGTGAGGTTGGATTCAAAATTTTGATTGAGGGCAGGGCTCCATCTCATCTTACTGAAAACAGCAGGCTTAACTCTGCCTAAGACAATCTAACCCTAACCCACATTTGAGACTCACATTAGAGCACCGCAGTAGGTTCTGCAACTTTTAACCTGAAAGGCAGGAAGTTACTGGAAAACAAGCTCCTGTTTTGCAGTCCCAGTGGATAACACCCACTTGGATGAAGTTGCCATCTGTTGTTTTCTTGGGTTATCTCAGAATATGTGAAATAATCTGGAAGAGAGAGAAGCAAAATGACAGAAAAATGCAACATGGAAATAATGTCTGGAAAATTACTGCTGGGGTTCTATAAAGGACACTAAATGTTCTGGTTTAGATCTGGAAAATACCTGCTGGAGCAATAAATGTGATTGCACCAATCATCAAAGTGTGGCTGGAGTATAAATAAAGCTCCCTGGCTGCCGTAGATCCAACGTTGTTATTCTTTATTTCTTTTTCATATAATTTCCTATGCATAAATGGACTGAATACTGTCAGTGAAAAATGGAACCAGAATCATCAAGAAGGACAAGTGAAGAAGCAGCTAGAGTGAACAGCATGTGTACCTAATGATGGGAACTAAAAGTGTGACATTCCCATTAGCCTCTTCCTTCCAGCAAAACTGAATTGTAATAAAGAATCCAGCCTGCACCTTATAGCCTGTCTCTAGTTACAAGGCATG